CGACCAACCAACGTGGAATTACGGCTTGGAGGGCGCCTCAGCTGCAGCACATTCGCCGTCACCTCACTGACAGCATTATCATTGCGACAGGACCCAACGGAACTCGAACTAGGGTCATGACGACGAACGGCAGCGTCGACTACGACGGGATGACCTACATCTCATACTCCCTGGACAGACTGATGATTGCGCGATGGGGTATGACACCAGCAGCCACTCCGCCTGACCCACTGACCACCCATGGTGCAGCATACCTCGACCCATACATCCTTGCGAGTGAATGCAAAGACTCTGGGCGCCACGACGAAACGACGTTGAGAGGCAGCCACCACCACGATAGATACGACGACATCCACGGCACACGCGATACCCACGACATCAGCGGCACCCACGAGACCCACGACGCCCGCGACATCCGCGACGGCACAGGCACGTTCGGCGGCATCGAGATCGACCGCGCCCAGGCGCCTTCCCCGAGGAGACCAACAACGTCCGACACGGACAATGGTAATGTAGAAGAACAACACATACAAGAACAACCAGCACGCGTGCATGTCGAGGCTGTCCTGGTGAGGCAAGGATCGAACTTCGAGACGGGATCGAAGGGCGGGGGGGCAGGGCGAGTACTGCCCGCGCCTGCCAGGGGGGATGGCGAGGGGCAGGGGGGGGGGGGGGGGGTAGGGCGGCCATTGCCCGCGCCCCCGCGGTCCGCCCTAGCTCGCCACCCCCACTTTTCCCACGGCGGAGTTGGAGCTTACCCGAGCGCCCTAGCGGCGGAGCAAAGGACAGCCGAGACGACCCTGGGCGTCGGTCGGGGCGAGGTGGGGGGTATCGGTTGGTTTGGGGCGAGAAATCGTGGGGTGGGGGGTCTCAAGCACAGAGGCTCTGTGGGCGGGTGCATCGGGGCCAGGCGGGGGGTGCAAACATAAGGCCTCGGGTTCGCCCCCACCGAGGGCACTGTGACCCCCAGCCGTAGCGGGGCGAGGTGGGACAGCCAAGAACCCCATCTGAAGTCGGTGCATGGATACCTACCAGTGCAACCAACGCCCCTACAACACGACCAACAACAACGACAGCAGCACTCGACCAGCGGCGGCAGCCAACAACGACAGCAGCACCTCGACCACCGCGGCGACCTCGACCACCACGGCGACCACACCAGGGAGAAATCAGAGGTTGCCCACCACTTCGCGCGGAGAGAGCGACACCAGGAGGGTCGGCCGCATCTTCGTGGACACACCCTCCAGGGGAGGGGGATGAGGTCGAGCTCCTCGCGTGAACCGCCCCGCGGTGAGCGGGCGATGCCAGCCAGGACCCAGGACCCAGGCCGCCCCTTTCCTTCTACGATCCTTTTGTTTCGGTCCTGGTGCCCGTCCTCCGCCGTGTTTCCTTGTTTCTTCCCCTCCCCCGTTTCGCAGGGTAGGGGTCCGCTCAACATGGCGCGCCCAACCCGCGATACCGCCCCCCGAGCAGAGACGCTTGCTCGACGTCCTGCTGGCCGCGGAGAGCTGCTGCAGGCCAGTTGGGGGTGGCGGTGTCAAGGATGAGGCCGTCATCTAGGCTCCAGGCTCCCCGTCGCTGCTCTCCTGGCCTGGGAGCTGTGACGCCCCCCTCTCCTCCTCTGGCCACGCAGCCTTCTCCTTCTCTCTCCTCTGGGGTCGGGGTTTCGCGTTTTGCCGCGCTGGTTTCGGCTCCTGCTGGAGCCCCCGCCCCTCTTGAGAGCCCTGGAGGCGTCCTCCCCCTGCTCCTCGTTCCTCCTGCCCCCTTTTTTTCTGGCCCTTTTCGTGGGCCCTCGGGCCCCTGCCCGGCGCCTCGGCCGCTGGCGGCTGGTTTGGCCTCGTGAGGCCTTGGGGCCCACCCCGTGCGCGGGCGCAGCAGCCGCGCTGTGCCGCCTGAGCGGCAAAGCCCGCAGCCTCCGCGGCACAAGCCGCCGAGGCGTCGGCCACGTCGCGGACACGACATTGGGCCGCATCGCAAAGGTCGCAGAGGAGGAGGAGGAGGAGGAGGAGGAGGAGGAGGAGGAGGAGGAGGAGGAGGAGGAGGAGGAGGAGGAGGAGGAGGAGGAGGAGGAGGAGGAGGAGGAGGAGGAGGAGGAGGAGGAGGAGGAGGAGGAGGAGGAGGAGGAGGAGGAGGGGAGGAGGAGGAGGAGGAGGAGGAGGAGGAGGAGGAGGAGGGAGGAGGAGGACGAGGGGCTCGAGGAGGAGGAGGAGGACCCCCAGGAGGACCCCCACGGGGGAGGCCTCGGCGCACCAGGGCTGCCGGGGGAGGCGACGAGCAAGGAGGAGGAGGAGGAGGAGGAGGAGGAGGAGGAGGAGGAGGAGGAGGAGGAGGAGGAGGAGGAGGAGGAGGAGGAGGAGGAGGACCCCCCAGGGGGAGGCCTCGGAGCACCGGGGCTGCCGGGGGGAGGCGACGAGCAACTGGGCAAAGAAGATTTGCGGATCACGCTAGGGGGGGGTCGAGGAGGAGGACCCCCCGGGGGCGTAGCTGCCTCGATACGCCCGTTTTGATACGCAGCACGTGACGTTTTCAAGACGTCCGTGTCAATACGTTGCGCGTTGGCTCAGCGTATTGGCCTACGTTTTGGCGACCATATCGCGTCAGACCTGCGTGTTCAGTCTGCGTGCTGAGCTCCGTATCAGTACGCTGCGTGTTGCGTGTTGCGTATCGGGGCAGCTTAGCCTGGGGGAGGCCTCGGAGCACCGGGACTGCCGGGGGAGGCGACGAGCAATTGGGCAGGGAAGATGCGCGGAGCATGCCAGGGTGTGGACGAGGACCCCCCGGGGGGAGGCCTCTCGAGGCACCGCCCTCTCCACGCCCTTTCGGCACGCCCTCGCTCGATCCGCGGCCTTCTTAGGGGAACAGAAAGTGACATAAACATAACAACTCTGAGGTCCGCGCGGATTTCTCGGATCGGCGCTGGGGCCCCCCGGCGGCGCCTCCGGCGCCGCCCCTGGCGCGCTCCGCGCGCCAGGGAAGGGGGGTCCAGCGCCGATCCGAGGAATCCGCGCGGACCTCCGAGTTTGTATGTTAATTGGTTTTTCTGTTCCCCTACTTATGGGGCTTCACCAAAGGCCCCAGTGGAAGAACGCGCGCCGACAGACGCGCAGATTAGCCGCAATGGATCGGATCACATCCTGGCGTAAGCCGTTACGGCCGACCTCTGCGACCCCATCAGCAACAGGGTTGCCGGGGGAGACGACGAGCAAGTGGAAAAGGAAGATTTGCGGAGCATGCAGGGGGAGTACGAGGGGACATCGTGAGGCTCGCTCTGCACCCCTGTGAGCCGGAGAGGGACAGTGCCACTTGCGGAATCGGCGTGAGGAGCAGCAGGGGCAGCAGCGACTTGGGCTGGGTGCAGGGTGCGACGTGGTGTTCCCACGCCGCGGCGCGTGATATCCATAGGGGGCCACATGCGAACCCTACCCCCACCCCCCACGATTTCGGAGGGGGAGGGGGGGGTTCGCTTCGCTCGGGAGCTCCCGAACGGAGTGACCCCCCCCCCCCCCTCCCCCTCCGAAATCGTGGGGTGGGTGGGGGTAGGGTTCGCATGTGGCCCCCCAGTCCAGAGCACGGCGTGCGGGAGTGAAGCGGTGTCAGACCCCCCACCTCTGCCCGCTTCGGACAGACACCCGCGACGGGACTTGCCGTCTCTGGAGGCTCCCGGGGGGGGGGCCGCCGCCCTGCTCCTGGACCGTCGAGGGCCACTCGGGTTACGCGGAGAGCCGGTCCGGGGGAGGGGGTCCACGATTCGAAAGCCCCCCTCTGGGAGGCACGAGGTGCACCACTTGCATCCCTGGACGAGTGGCGCAGGACTTGCGTATGGCAAGACATCCCAAAGCATCAACAACAAGAGTCGCGGGGGAGGGGGTCCACGATTCGAAAGCCCCCCTCTGGGGGGCACGAGGTGCACCACTTGGATCCCTGGACGAGTGGCGCAGGACTTGCGTATGGCAAGACATCCCAAAGCATCAACAACAAGAGTCGCGGGGGAGGGGGTCCACGATTCGAAAGCCCCCCTCTTGGAGGCACGAGGTGCACCACTTGGATCCATGGACGAGTGGCGCAGGACGTGCGTATGGCAAGACATCCCAAAGCAGCAAAAAAGTCGCGGGGGATCTCTGAGGCTCCACGTTGCGAGCAAGCTCACGACGTCGGAGACCAGGGGAGGCGGCGGGGTTCGAGGAGCGAAGCGGGCAGCTCCCGGGAGGCCTGCCGCGACTGCGCTGCCCGACGCCCGCCGGGGGCGCGGAGGGCGGGGCTGCCGGAGGGCGTGGTGGCAGGGTGGGCGCACCGGGGCCCTGAATCTCTGTTGCCGTGTGCTCCTCCTCCTCCTCCTCCTCCTCCTCCTCCTCCCCCTCCTCCTCCTCCTCCTCCTCCTCCTCCTCCGGGGCCGAGGTGGGGGAAGAGGGACAGGGTACTGCCTCAAGCAGTGGCGAAGCGTCCTGGCTCGCCTATAGCCCTACCAAAGCATTTTTTTTTAATTTTTATTAAACCCTTCGTGGTTTCCACGAAATGTTCTTAGAACATTTCTGGTTGGGATTGTCTTGTTTTAACACATCGGGCTTATGTACTAAGAGCATTGTGTTTGTTCTTAGAACTTTTTCTGGTTCTAAGAACATTTCGTGGTAGGACTATCGGAATGCCGGGACGGTAGGTTCCTGCTCAAACTGCGCCTCCTGCCCCCCGCCCTCACCACGGTGCCGCCCGCTTCCGCCGAGACTCGCTCGAGGACGGCATTCCCCGCGTGCGCGCCGCCGGGGGGGGAGGCAGCCGAGGGCCGGTCCGACGAGTTCGGTGATGGTGACCCCTTGTAGGCCCAATGAGTCCAGTAGTCGAGCAGTGGATCGGCACATGGTGATTTTTCTTATCCTCCACGGTGCTCTCACGTTATACTCTGCGATGTTCACTGCCGCTTCGGTTCTTCCTCGCGCCCCGTATGCCATCCTCGGCACTATGTTTATTTGCGCTGGCTTCCGTCCTGCCCCCTTGCTGGGCAGGAGTCTACCGCGCCCGCTTGGGGCTCGGTGAAGACGGGCTCGACGTTGCAAGGCGATGTGCGCAAAGAGAAGCAGTACCCGTCGCTTGCCAAGTGAGGGGAGGGGCAGTTCAGTGAAGGGAAGTGGCCCAGGAGTGTCAGTCACATTGAGGTCTTGAGCTGAAAAGGACAGGGACAGCTCTCCTCCCCTCCTTCCTGGGGTGGAACCTCGATTGTGTTCAAGAGATTGAAGAGGCCGGGAGGTCTGTTGGTTCTACCAGCATCAACATCGACGACGGTTCTGACAACAGGGTGAACATCAAGACATCCAAGAACGCGTTCGCAGCGCTAGGAGCCTGGGGCGCCAGCGCCATTTTGTATCGCCGCCGAGCTCGCCCTCCCACCTCCCCGTGCCCCCCCGCCCGACTGCTTCTTCCAGCGCCTGGTGCCCCCGCGGGCCCTCGGAACCGCGCCAAAAGCCCCCCCCCCCCCCCTCGGCCGCAGGGGCCCCCCCTGGCCCCCAGGACCGTCGCGAAATTATTCTGGACGACGAGCTCGTCCAGGGGCAGGGCTCCAGATCTCCAGGGCTCGACCTCTGTCGACAGACCTCCTGGCGCCGGAGCGCTGGGACGTCCCGCGCCCGCCTCCGCCTCACGCAGCCGCTGCCCCGCGCTTCCCCCCCCCGCGCCGGCCTCGGCCTGTCGGTGCCCCGCAGCTCCCGGCCTCCGACGCCGTGGCTCCTGCCACGGCGGCGCGGCCTCACAGGTCTCCGCCGCGGCTTCTGCCCCCGCGGCGGCGCGGCCCCCGAGGTCTCCTGCACCTCCTGCCCAGGACCGGCTCTTCGTCCCGAGGAGGAGGAGGAGGAGAAGGAGGAGGAGGAGGAGGAGGAGGAGGAGGAGGAGGAGGAGGAGCCGGAAGGCCTCTTAGAAGCACCCAGGCGCCTTCCAAGGCGGCCCCTGCCTTCCACAGAGCCCGCCCACGCCCTCTCAGAAGCCCCCCCCCCTCGCGCCCCCCCCCCTCCTGCGCGCCGCCAGCTTGTGCTCTCTTGATCCCTCTTGCTCTCCCTGCTCCACCTCTCTCTCTCTCTCTTGGCCTCGCCCCCTACCCCCACCCCACGGCGTGAAAAAAGTCACCCCTCGGGCACCCGCTGGGCCCCGAGACCGTCAGGAAACGGCTCGGGATTGAGCAAAGGAGTCCCGCGTGAGGTGTCGACGCTGCGGCAGAATCGCGGCGTAGGAGCTCTGGGCTCCACCCTGCCCGAGAGAGCGAGAGCCGCGCGTGCGCCCGCCAGACGAAGCTGGCAGCGACGGCGACGACGCGGGGCCGAAGAGACCGAAGGTCATCTCCGCGGCGAAGGTGCACAAAGCGCAGGGCGGGGTGGGGGGGCGGTCGGACTCGGCATTGCAGCAGTCTGCGCGCCGTCTAGCTGAAGTCGCCCCGAGCTTTGGCCACCCTCCCCAGCGAAGGGAGGCCCAGCCCTGAGTCCCAGGCGGCCGAAGGAGAGAGGAGGATCGAACATGAAAACACGGCACACTCATAGGCTCTGGAATGCCCGCGTAGATTTCTCGGATCGGCGCTGGAACTCCCTGGCGGCGCCTCCGGCGCCGCCGCTCGGTGCCCTCCAGACGTTAGGGGGGGCCCAGCGCAGATCCAAGAAATTTGCCATGGACCTCCGACAGTTTATGCCTCCCTCCCTCCCTCCCTCCGTCCGTGCCGGTTCGATTTTCTTTTGGAGAGGATGGGGAGGAGGAGGAGTACCAAGGGCTCGGCGACTCGTCAGCAATCGGCTTGCGGGGATCAGGCCAGGTACAAATTGAGGTGCACATCGAGGCAAATCCAGACATGGCCAGGTGAGCCTTGGAGACCTCGCGGGAGCCCCAGAGCGAGTCGAGGGTTACCAGGAGTCGATGCCAGGGCTCGACCTGAACGGTTTTTTGGCGATCCCGTTGGCCGTTTTCGTTTCGAGTTCGCTTGATGCAGCAAAGGACGACAACGAGGGACAACGAAAACAACAAGAGTACTAAAAACACGGTTCAGGTCGATCTTTGGTCGATACAGCTGGGCTGCTGGATAAGGAACCTTGTTCGTTGGGGAGGGGCTCAGTGTTCCTTAAATGCTTTGCAGCTGTTGTTAGGGTGCCTATCGGCTTCCTGTGGGAAATCGAAGGTTGATGCATGGAACAAAGGGGCCTCGCTCCTCATTCAGGGTTCCTTAGGATCAAGTCGGGCATGTCCCTCTACAGGAGGACTATTCAAAGATGGTCACAAAATGGTCCGGGGACGATGTGTCGATTATTTTTTGACTATTTCGGGGTATGTTTTGACTTGTTTGATACATTTGTCTTCAAAAATCTGCCTGTAGGGAGACATGCCCGACCTATCCTTAGTCCAGCGTTTCGACTGTAGGTCGATCCCTGGCAGACAGGCCTCCAGGCGAAGGAGGGGAGGAGGCTGCGCAGGGGGGCGAGCGGATCGGCGGCCGAGGGGCTCGGCGTCGTCGGCGGCGTCGTCGGCGTCGGCGTCGGCGTCGGCGTCGGCGTCGGCGTCGGCGTCGGCGTCGGCGTCGGCGTCGGCGTCGGCGTCGGCGTCGGCGTCGGCGGCGGCGGCGGCGGCGGCGGCGGCGTCGTCGTCGTCGTCGTCGTCGTCGTCGTCTACCGGCGGCGGCGGCGAGGGATCCCAGTCTTCCGACGTGGGGAGCTTTTTCACGGCGTCGATCCTGGAGATCTGGACCACTGCCCTAGTCGGGAGCCTTGAGACGTGGGTCAATGCAAACGGGGGTCAGCCAGAGCGCCGGATCTTGTAGGATCCTGCAGGGCCAGGGTGCTACTGACCCGGGTTTGGGTGCAGGTCCTGCAGGATCTTGCAGGACCCTTCGCATTGGCCCGGGTTTGGGTGCCGCATTTTGCAGGACCCTGCAAGGCCTAGCTGATCTGGGTGAGGAGGAGGCGGAGGAGGAGGAGGAGAAGGAGGAGGAGGGAGGAAGAGAGGACGTGAGGAGAGGAGGAGAGAGCGAGATGAGGAGGAGGAGGAAGGAGGGAGGAGGAGGAGGAGGAGGAGGAGAGGAGGAGGAGGAGGAGGAGGAGGAGGAGGAGAGGAGGAGAGGAGGAGGAGGAGGAGGAGGAGGAGGAGATGCACAGGTGGCGGAGATGCACGAGGAGGAGGAGGAGGAGGAGGAGGAGGAGGAGGAGGAGGAGGAGAGGGGAGGATGGAGGAGGAGGAGGAGGAGGAGGGAGGAGGATTAGGAGGAGGAGGCGGAGGCGGAGGAGGAGGAGGAGGAGGAGGAAGGAGGTAGGAGGAGGAGGAGAGAGGATAGGGAGAGGGAGGCGGGGGAGGGGGAGGAGAGGAGAGAGGAGGGGGATGAGGAGGGGGAGGGGCAGAAAATGGGGGGGTGCGCGCGGGGAAGCAGCGCCGCGCGGTGGGCGGCGCGGAGGCTCCCCAGCCTCCTGCCCCCCCCCCCGGAGGAGAGGGCCCTCGGGGCTTGCCTCCAGGGTGCGCTGGGCTTCTTCGGTTTCGATGGTTCTGCTATGGACAGCGTGACGTTGCCACACAAAATTAAAGGGACGACCTGGTGTCTCAGGGTTGGGCTTCTTGTGGAGGGTTTCTTGTGGACTGACCTCCGCTGTGGCGGTATTGGTGTCCCTTTTCTGCTCTCAAGACGAGGGCGTCTCCGCCAGCGCCCCCCCACCTCTCCTCGCGCTGCGCGAAGAGAACACGACGGGAGGCTTTGACAGCCGTCGGCCTCCAGGGGGACCTCGCCGGGCCCAGGGGCCATCAAACACAGCGGCTCGGGTTGTGGAAGTCGATTAATGGAGAGGAAGCGTGCTGCCAAGTAGTCTCCAGATGCCTACACCGTGCTTCAAGCATGTTTCAGAGAGATGTCAACACATGTTTGGCAGATTCTTGGAACATGCTTTGCACATTTTCACCACATAGTGTTCATTCAGTGGTAGGGTTGTTACTCCAGATTTCGTAATAAAAGGGAGGGGGTCTGGACCCTCCAAGACAAGCCATTTCAGACCTTCCCCGTGGGAGAACCCTCCAAAACATCGTCCCCAGACCTCCCAGGCCCTCCAAGATAGCCTGGAAGAGACCCCCCCCGAAATGAGACCCCCCTCCCTTTATTACGAAATCTGGAGTAGAGTATCCATGGCCGTGGCATCCGCAACGGCTCGGGGAGAGGGGCCAGACCTCTGGGGGCCCACGCTGTGCGAAAAACCTCTGGGCGCCGGCGTGCCGGGCACGAGGCCGGCTCTCCGCCGGCGGAGAGCGCCGGCGGAGCGCCGGCGGACGCGGGAGTCGGACGACGGATCGGTGCGCTGTTGCGCTTGTTCGCTGAAGAGGTCGGAGGAGGAGGAGGAGGAGGAGGAGGAGGGAGGAGGAGGAGGAGGAGGAGGAGGAGGGAGGAGGGAGGAGGAAGAGAGGAGGAGGAGGGAGGAGATGGAGGAGGAGGGGGAGAGGAGGGGAGGAGGAGGAGGAGGAGGAGGATGAGGAGGAGGAAGGATGAGGAGGGAGGAGGAGGAGGGGAGGAGAGGAGGAGGAGAGAGGAGGAGGAGGAGGAGGAGGAGGAGGGAGGAGGAGGGAGGAGGGAGGAGGAGGGAGGAGGAGGAGGAGGGAGGAGGAGGAGGAGGAGGAAAAGGTACCCATGCCTCTACCCCCTCGCCCGTGCTCCCCTTTTCGGGCCTTCCGGGAGGCCCTCGTCGCCACCGCCGGGTTCGCCTCGGAATCCTGGTCAGAACGCGCCCCGGGAGAGGGGTGAGGAGTCGCGGTATGGGTACCTTTTAGTTTCAGCTCGGCATTCGGTGTGCTCTTCACCGAGCGCGTTCCACTACTCGCAAAGTGCCTGCTCGCAAACGTCCGAGAGACATATGTCGGCTTTGATTTAATTTATCGTGGATCCCCCGCGGCGTATCCAGTCAATTTGCGAGTAGTGACTTTGCGAGTAGTGGAACGCGCGCGTCCAGTTCTGCAAGAGGCAGGTCGGCGCATGACGTGCACGCGGAGTGCCAGATATTTGCCCTGCTCGGCGACGGGTGGCGGACGACTGCGCTGAGCAGAGGCACGCGAGGAGGGGAAGTGCAGGTGAGCGTGAAACGGTCGCGCTTCAGAGAGAGGTAGAGAAGTATGTCGATCCCAAGAAAGATGGCAAGAAGGACGACAAGAAGGACAAAAAGGACAAGAAGGAGGACAGCTGTGGTCTCCTCGCGTCTACGGTCTACGCTCCTGGACCATGCGCAAATGACATGTACGGCTTGTGTGTGTGGGGCATCGAAGAGGTAGGTGAGGACTGGTGTAGTGCTCCTTGTGCGTCTAGGCGCTTTGGGGGCCAAGGGGTTTCTTTCTGGTAGCAGCCTGACTGTAGTTGTAGCGTCTGCCTTTCGCGTTCTTCTTCCTGGTAGCAGCTTCCTGGTCTTCCTGGTGGTAGCAGCTTTCTGGTCTTCCTTCCGCGTCTTCCCTTGGCGTCCTCCTGGTGGTAGCAGCTTCCTGGTTTCGTCCTTCTTTAGCGTTCTTTCTGGTAGCAGCTTGACTGTAATGGAGGATGACGATTAATAAATGACTGGGGGTCGTGTTCACGCGGCGGCTCCCGGGATGACGATTAGAAAAAACCGGCCGCGGGCTGGACAATTATTTTTTCAATCGTTCTCCTCCAGTCAGAAAATTATGCAGAAACAGCAGAAGACTATTTTTTAATCGTTCTCTTTCATTTTTATTAATCGTCATCCCGCATTAGTTGTAGTGGCTCCTTTTACGGTCAACTCGTGCACGCCCCCCCTCGAAGTTGTGGAGCCTCCTCAGGGAAACAGCCGTGGCGTGCCGTGCAGGAGGCGGCGGACCGCCACCTCCTGGCCTCTTAAAGGGTGCCACATTCTTCTCCTCCTCTCCTCCCTCCTCCTCAACCTCCTTCCCTCCTTTCCTCCTTCCTCCTTCCTCCTTCCTCCTCCTCTCCTCCTCCTCCTCCTCCTCCTTCCTCCTCCTCCTCCCTCCTCCCTCCTCTCCTCCCTCCTCCTCCTCCCTCCTCCCTCCCCCCCCCTCCCTCCCTCCCTCCCTCACCCCCTCCTCCTGCCCTCCTCCCTCCCTTCTCCTCCTCCTCCTCCTCCTCCTCCTCCTCCTCCTCGTGCCTCTCCAGCTCCCCCAGATGCTCAAGCGATGCAGCCCTCTGCGAGTGCAGCTGGCGCCGGGGCTCACACCAACCCTCTCTTCTTGTAAAGGGGGCGCGCACCTGCCCGCGCGCTCTTCCTCGGTTTTTTTTGGGGGGGGGCTCTCCACCTCGAGGCTGTTCGCCGTCTGGGGCATCTCCGGGGTGCCTTTGGCCCTCGGCGAAGGGGCTCGCGCCCTCGACCCGCGCGCCCTCTCTCTTTGGGCCGTGCTCCGACCGCGTCGATGGGGAACGGCGCAACGGGGGGGAGCGGGAGCGGAGGGATGGGAGGACGCGGAGGGCGAGGAGGGAAGGGCGCGGAGGGCAAGGAGGGAAGGGCGGGGAGGACGGAGGGCAGGAGGGAAGGGCGCGGAGGGCAAGGAGGGAAGGGCGCGGAGGGCAAGGAGGGAGCGGGAGCGGAGGGACCGGAGGACGCGGAGGGCGAGGAGGGAAGGGCGGGGTCTGCTCCGGTCGGCGCTCGCATCTGCCGTCGGCGAGTGCACGATGGAGCGACCAGGCGAGCGATGGAAGAAGAGGGGGCCGACTGTGTGGACGTTCGCGCGCAAGCTTCCCGAGCAAGGCCTCGCGGTCGCGCCTACTTCTCCACGCGGTGTGCAGTGCTTGCGGCCCCTGTGAGCCGCGGCGAAAGGTCGCTGTGTCTTCTCGCGTCAGGCCCGGCTCTCTTCGTTTCTGAGCTGAAGTGACGTTTGGGGAGGCCTCACAGCTGATCATTCACCCTCCCCTCATCCCTCTTCCACTCCTTTTCCACCCACTCACCGCCGCTCACCTCTCCCCCTCGTCGCCCCTTTCCTTCCCCCTCCCCCCTCCTCCTCTCTTTGCCTCCCCGGCTCGCTTTCGATCCCTCCGTTGCTCAGCTCCCTCCCCTCTCTCTCTCTCTTTCTCTTTTCGTCCCGACCCCCTGGTATTTTGGGGCGTGTGTGACGGTTGTAGGCAACTTTCAGGTTCGGTTCCAGGGCCCTCGCCGGGCCCCAGGACAGTCAGGCAACGACTCCGGGTGGAGCCTGCCCCTGGCAAGGGGTCCGAGCTTCTGGGGGAGCCGCGCGGCGAAACACAGGGCACGACGCTGCGAACGTCTGGGTCCCCCTCCCTTCGCCTCCCCCTCGCGCACTCCGCGCGCCTCCGCGGTCCTTGCTCCCTGGTCCCTGCGAGGACAAGAAGGCAGCGAAGAGGCAGGCGACCGAGGAGGAGGAGAGCGGCGCCCGCCGCCCCCTCCTCGGCACGCGCGCCGACGACGACGGCGGTGGCGACCGACTGGCGGCGACAGGGCGCCCTGGGACCACCCGCGGCTGCGGCGCGGAGCCCGACTGGCGAGTGCTGGCGCGTGAGCGGATATGTCCGCGCGGAGTGCAGCGCAGAGCCCCACGCGCAGGATTCCCCTTCCGACGCGCCGGTGGGTCACGACGGCCAGCAGGGAAGAGGCGAGCAGCGGCACCGCGAAGACGACTCGTCCGCCCTGTTGCGTCGGCGGCGAAATGCGAGCCCTGTCCTCGCTGTTCAGCGATATTCGGGCAACTCGATGGGCCGCGGGGGCAGGGTCGGCCCGGAATTCGTCGAACGCGTGGCGAAATCCGATCCCTACCCCCGCCTCCCATCGATTCGGGAGACTCGGTGGTGGATGGGGGGCAGGGCTCGGATGTCGCCACCTATCGTGGATGCGTCCACGACCCAGACAGCAGGGCTCGTTTCGATTCCTCCGATTCGGTTCGATTCGACTTCGATGGCTTCCGATTTCGATTCGACTGGACTTCGGATTCCGATTTGGGCTCCGATTTCTCAATGGAGACTTACCAATGTGCCGATTTCCGCCGATTCGGCCTTTTCCGACTCGGCTGCCCAGTTCCGTCGATCCGATTCATTGCGATCGCCGATCCGACTTATCGATCCGATTCTGGGCTCTCCTGAGACAGCCCCAGCGAGAGCCCTGCGCAGCCGACCGCGGAGCCGCGGAGTGCAGGCGAGGCACGGCCCGAGCCAGAGGCCACGCTTAGGACGGGCATGCCCTCCTGCCGGCGGATTTGGACGAACAGCACAGCCTGGACAGACACCTGCAAAGCAGTGCCAGGACATCTGCTCAAAGCATCGCTCCCCCAGACTGTTTTGTTTGAGTGTTCTTTTCAATGTGCATTACCAGCCTCGAACGTATCCCTATCCCTAAGATTGACACGCAAACAATCCTAGGGACTCGCCCTCAGAAAACAAGGGAATCCCTAAGATTGGCATCGTGATGAGGAGGTGCCCGGCATAGGGGCAGGGACATGTTCCGGGCTGGTAAGTGCATCCTGTAGAGGCATGGCCCGAGCCAAAGGCCACGCCGAGTCCGGCCATCCGTGGAGGAGGAGGAGGAGGAGGAGGAGGAGGAGGAGGAGGAGGAGGAGGAGGAGGAGGGGAGGAGGAGGGAGGAGGAGGAGGAGGAGGAGGAGGAGGAGGAGGAGGAGGCGAGGAGGAGGAGGAGGAGGAGGAGGAGGAGGAGGGGGGAGGAGGAGGGAGGGAGGAGGAGGGGAGGAGGAGGAGGGGGAGAGGGAGGGCCTCTGCGGAGGCGCGCCGCCCCTGGCGGGGGTCGCCCCCTGCTCGGGCCAAGCGGGCGCCGACCGCGGAGCCCCCCGCGCCGGCGGAGGGCCTGCCTCAGTCGGCCGCGGGGCTCCTGGCCTTCCCCATCTAGCGCCTCCTTCCCTGGGGACCCCTCCATCTCCTCCATCTCCCTCCTCCTCTCCTCCTCCCTCCTCCTCCTCCCCCTCCTCCTCCTCCCTCCTCCTCCTCCTCCTCCTCCTCCTCCTCCTCCTCCTCCTCCTCCTCCTCCTCCTCCTCCTCCTCCTACCAACTCAAACAGGAGGGGTCGCCGCTGTTTGGCCCGAGCGTCGACGCATATCTGCTGATTTTAATAGTGAAAGACCTGCAGTCTAATTCTCGTTGCCGCCATGCTTTCTCTCGTACAGCTTCCATCCCCCCCCGCAATTCTAGTTGGTAGGGGAGCTGTGAACGATCCCAGCTCGCGATCCCCGGAACGTTCGAAGAGCGCGGTGTGGACGCACATTCGCACTTATCTTCGCCTCCGCATCGGCACCTTCCCCCCATTCCTTGAAGAGCCTCAGCTGCCAACCGGCATCCGGCATCCGGTCCGACTGCGAGGGCAGCAGAAGGCGTGACTGCGACGAGGAACGACTCGTCCACAAGAGCGCCGCGACGTTCCTCGACCCATCGCAGCCCCACAGGCACTGGCCGCAGCTTCGCGTCGGGCATTACTACGGGGTTCCATCCTGGGCTAACGCCGTGCATTGGTACATGAACGATCGTGCTGGCTGTCCTTGTGAGCACATCGCACCACCCAAGTGGAACACTGCGAGTCAATGTGCCAGCTTCACCGGCTTCAATATACCAAGGTTGAGAATGTACCGAGGAGCTGTCCGCGTTGCCAATGGAGGTGCTCCTGGATTTTTTGATTTTGCGGGAGTATGGCGTGTGCGGCCATGTGCGGGCATGGCGGGGCCTTCCTGGCCAGCGACTTCCCTGGCAGGGATCGAGGAGATGCGTAGCATGTGCGGGCATGTGCGGGGAGGTGGCGGCTTCAACGCTGCCCCGCACAGAAGCGCGCAGGGGGGTATGATCGCAGTGTGCGGCATGCGCGCAGAGAAAATTGAGAACAAAAACAGGAAGTGGGCACTAAGATTATGAACCTTTCAATGGTGATGAGCCCTGTGTGCCCCTGTCCGATTTTGCCTTTGTCTTGAAATCGTCTTAGGGTGTCAGGCCCAGCGCCGAATTGGGAAATCCGCCAGGGCTCCGACAATTTGTGTCTGTGCCGATCGTCGTTCGTTTCTCCAGCTGGGGCTTCGGCGTCGGGGGCCCGCCGCTGACGCCACTTCTTGGCCTTGCACGGACTCGGGCCAGATGGCGGTCGCCACGTCTGAGCGGCAGGAAACATGGCGCCGACGACCGACTTACGCTGGCGACGCGGCATCCGTGCGGCCGCAGGCTCGCGACGGACAGTTGACAGGCATGACGAACTGGAGACGGCAAAGGGCGAGCCCTCAAAGGCGCTCCGCTGCTCCTCCCGGTCCTTTCTGCGTCGTGGGATTCCGCGGCGGGAGGTTTCTGGCAGTTTCCCGGCCTTCGGAGACTATCGGCATTCCCGGGGCCGTCGGAAAACGATTCTGTTGGAGTCCCGGGGAAGGGTCCCAGATCCTTGGCAGGCCACGTTGAAAAGGGCGCGCGATGTGATGATGTTGCAGGCCATGTCGGTGGCGACCCCTACATTTCCCTACCTCTAACATCGCTGTGCGCTGCCCTCAAAGCGCGCGCGTCTCTGGGGGACATCCCGACTCATAGTGCGGGCTCTGTCCCCCAAGGGTGGGCACATGCAGATCGGCTTTCGGGCGCGCTCATCCCGTCCACAGGTTAGCAGCCTTTCCTGTCATGCCTTTTTGGCCATGTGGCCGTCGTTGGCAGTCTCGGTTGGAAGCTGGCATGGCGAATTTGCATGCGCGGGCAGGTCCCCGTCCTGAGTCGATGGCATCACCCACGTTTGCCAACGCGCCGATGTTACAACATGTTTCCAGCGCGGAAGAGATAGCTCGATCTTGCTCCGTTGTCGAGGTTTTTAAATGTACTCATACATCGTGCTTTCGCTTTCTCTTTCCATCCATGGTGTCTCTTTTCTCGCTCCATGCGTCCATCCGAGTGCAGATGCTGCTTGCGCTCGTCTTCCTGCTCCGTTGCGTTTCTGCGCGTGCGTATCTTCATCTCTCCCCGCATTCCATTTGGAACGGCATCGCAGACATTGCCCCTGACTTGCAAGCAGGCCGCGTAGGCGAGCAGGTGAGGCCACGGCTCCTGCGTGCGAGTCCGAGGTCAAGGCAGACCTCGGCCATTGGTTGTCTCCGCCTGAATTCTCTGGTGCGCCCAGGCGCAGGTGTCCATTATCGCGAAGAGCAGCCCGTCCTGGGTGGGGGCCGCGAGCGTTCCTGGGCGGTGGCCATGGGCGCGGATGCTTCTATTCAGGGGGGCCCCGCCCCCTTCCTTCCCGCTCCCCGAGACAGGCGAGGAACCTCTGTGCGGGGGTCGCAACCCCGCAAGCTGGCACCTCTCACCGCGGAGCATAAACAAAACGTGTTCGAGGTGGCCAGAGCCCGGCCCATTTCGCTAAGGGCCGCCCATTGTGGTCGGGGTCGGCACGCCCCCAGTCACGAAGAGCTTCCAATTTTGGGCGGGGTGGAATTCATTCCGCATGTCGCCCCGTGTCGGTGGGCGGGCGGTGTTCGTCGAATGAGGGGAGTTCCGCTTCCCCGCGGGTGCGCGTCGTGTAAAGGATCCTATGAGCACCCTCTGCGTTTTGGAAAGAGTCCCCGCGCCCATCTTCGGAAATCCGCAGGGCGCCCGCGGAGAAACAACAATTGCGGGCATTTTTATGTTGCCACGGGGAAAAGTAGCGTCGGCGCATTGGTTTTGGTGTCGCAGAACGCACCAACGCTTCTTACAAGTGCACGGGTACATTTTGCTTTGGTCTGGTCGTTGGTGTAATTTGCCGACGTCGCAAGGCTAGGCGTGCGCATTCGTATGGGCGCGTGCGTTTTGAAATCATAATGCTTTGCGAAGCTTCAGAATGTTTGCGCCATGTTCGCCTGCAGTTTTGGATTTGAGCATTCAGATGGGGCTGCGGGTGCGCCGTTTCGTCGGCTTTTTCTGGTGCGTGTTACTCTCCTCCTCCTTCTCTTCCTCCTCCTCGTCCTCCTCCTGTTATTCGGCGGTGCCGACCCCGTTTCGGCAGGCCCCTCACGCGGCTCTTGACCACATAGTCAAGGGCATAATAAACGCCCCTACCCTGGTTTACGAGGCGCTGTGCGCTGCAACTCCTGTGGGCTGACAGGATAAACCCTGCGTGATGTGCCGCGTCCTGGCGGCTCTAGGCGTTGGGGGTTCCCAGGAGGTTTACAGACCACGCACTTGTAACCCAGGGTAGGGTCGTTTTTTCATCCCTCAACATAGGGCGCTCCGCCGACGGCCCCATCGGGAGGGCCCGCACGCGGTACTGCAGCAGTTCGGCGCACCCCGTGGCCCCACCGGGAGCTCCACCGACGGCCCCATCGGGAGGGTCCGGGCGCCGTGCCCGCTCCCTCTCGGCACACCTCCTCCTCCTCCTTCTCCTCCTCATCCTCCTCCTCCTCCTCTTCCTCCTCCTCATCCTCCTCCTCCTCAAGT